TGGCGTGTTTGGGGGGGGGGGGGGGGGGGGGGGGGGGGGAGGGTCAATCTCAGACCCTGGCGATTGTTTGTCTGTTACCAGACTCGGTAATTCTGAGGTTGCGACGAGCTCGGCGCGCATTAGTATTGCTGTATGTGGCTTGCCATTGCTTGTTGTTGCTGAACCATGGCGGCTGCTCAAATAGGAAGAGAGAGCAATGGTTTTCGGGTTTCCCTACGTTCGAATCAAATGCCTCCTAGACGGTCAGTTCCGTGCGACTCGAAGGTTACGGGTCTGTTGGTGCATTTTCTTGCTGTTGCCTCGCGTCTAAGGACCGACGCTCGAGCCGCTTGTTCATCGTGATGGTTAGTACTAGGAGGTTGGGTAGTGACCCACCTCTTCTTTGATCCGCCTACAGAGAATTACTGTATCCCCCGTGACGAATTTCTAACTTTCAACTTCTTCCTTCCTGATCACAAGATCCTCAGTCTTATTGCTGCTTAGTCGCGTATCAGTAAATTTCCAACTGATCATGAGCGCGGCTGTGGCAAGACTGGCAGATCGCGAACGGTATGGCAATCGGAAGTCGCACTAACGACCTCCATCTTCGAGCGAACTTGAATATGAGAATGCCAAACCCGGCTTCAGGTTTAGATGCGCGGCTGGGAAGACGGCATTGCGGATTTAGGAGGCGGCTCGTGCGAGCGAAGGTGGAGGATGGGTTGTCTCGAAAGGCGCAGGTGGATCGTAGGAGTGAAGGAGGAGTGCTTTGCTACTAGTGGCGGCTCAGTAACCAATAGATTTTGCCTCAGGTTTTAGTCACGCGTTGTTGGCAAGATTAGCGCCCATGTGCAAGCACACGAGGAGAAGGATAGGGATGAACCAATATATGAATAGGGATACAGGGAAGGAAAGGGAGAAGAACGGAGGAATTTGCATGCGCTGCGGCAGTCGGCGAAACGGGCGGGGACACCGCCAAGCAGCGCAAGCGGCGTTGGCAGTGGCAGTGGCGGCGCGAGGAGAGCGGGAAGGAGGGCGAGGGGGCGGTGAAGGGTGGACTGTTGATGGGGCTGGCGCGCAATCATTAACTAGCTCGATCTCACCAGGGTGAGTCGCTCTGAGGGATGGCGATTCGCGTTTGGAGTGTGGTGAATTGGGGGTGAAAGAAGGGGGGTTGAAGGGAGGGGGATTGAAGAAACGGGTTGTGAAGAAAAAGGGGAAGAGGGGGGGTGAAGTTGATGGGTGTGAGAGGGGCGATCTGTGAGAGGCAATAAGTGAGAGGCGATGAGTGAGAGGCGTCGTGGTTTGGAGCATTGTCCACAGCACCCTGCGGCACTCCCTTCCCACCCACCCATGCCAAACTCCCTCTTCCCACCCTCCAACTACGCTCCGCTCCTGCTTGCTGTTTCCATGCCCTCCTCGCACCCACTCGCACAGCCACACTGCTTGCCAACGCACCACCTCAGGACCATCTTGAACTCTCTGCTGACCGCCTCACCTTACCCATACGCACTCCCCTTTCACTTACCCCCTCCCCCTCCCCTTACCTCTGTCTTCACGCTTGCCTTCTTCCCCCCTCCCCCTCCCCAGCGCCAGGCTCTGCCATGACCTGTCACAACCACCCGGGTCGAGTGGAATGGTGGGGTCACCAATGGGTGGCCGTGATCCCGGGGCGCTGGGAATTTTCAACGTGAGAGTCGGTGGTGAGAAACGCGTAGGAGTATTTCAAGTTTCTCAAGTCACTTGTAGGCGACGGTGGGAAGGGGGCAGTTGAATAGCTGGATGTTGCCCAGGTGGGAGTTGCTGAGAGTTGGTGAGGAGTCGGTGAGAGTGGCTGTATGGGTGTGAGAGTGTGTGGAGGGAGGTGATGGGGAGGCCAGGTGAGATGAGAGTGTGGTTGCAGCCCAGATGAGATTTATCGTTTCCCCATCCCATTCCCCCGCCATCTCCCTTTCTTTCCCTCGCAATTCCTGACTTCTTCTCCCCACCCATCCCCCATTCGCATCCCCCTCCCCCTCCCAACCCATCCATCCAACCTCACCTGTGGTTTCTCGATCAGCACTCGCTGATATGTGCCCCTACCGCAGAAACACGCTACTCACAAAGTCACTATCCCTTTTTCTCCCCCCTCTTCTTCCGCTTAGCCTCTTTCCCCCTTTCCCCTGATCCCCACCTCCCCCCAATTCACACACTCACGCCCTTCCGCACTGTCCCCCATATCCCTCTCATAAGCCAATGCGGATTCACCTCGTTTCCCCTCCTCCCCCCCCTCCCCTTGAACTCCCCCCTCTCCCCCCCCCCCCCCCCCCCCCCCCCCCCCCCCCCCCGCTTCTCGTACACCCACATCTGGGCCACTCTTGAGGCGACTCAAAAGTCACTCACATGTTTGGGCCCAAAGATTAGCCCCCCACGCCTGAGCCATTGCACGGACTCCGTCCCCCACAGCGCAGTCGCACCGCACTGCTCACCCCCTTACACTCCCCTGTCCACCTCCCTCAGCTCGTTCCACGTCTTCACACCAGCTCCAACCCCTGTCGAGCCCTGTCCACCCTGCGGCTCCCGTGCCAAATATCAGACCCACGGATTTCCGGCCCCACAGTGGCGCCGCACTGCCCTCACCCAGGCTCTGTCCTTTACCCTCCCCTTCCCACTCTCCTTCATCCTTCCCCCATCTTCCCACCAGCTCTGCACCGCACCTGCTTCTCGTGCACCGAGTTCTGGCCCATATAGCCCGCCCCCTCCCCCCCACCCCCCGGCCTTGCAACATGAGCGCACTGTCACGGGCAAGCTGCGGGGTGCTGGGTGCCCTGTGGCGATTTTGCTCCTCAATGGCGCGCAGCGAGAAAAGCAGGTGTGCGGGGCGTTGCGGGATGGAGAGAGGAGAGGCATGTTTCTCAGGTGATGGTTGCAGTGGTGCTGCCACATCCAGCTGGGCGTTGGTGCTGGGAGCCCCGAGGGAGTGTTTTTCCTGGACAACGAGTGCTGGGAAAAGGAGGTAGGTAGTTGGGGAGAGGGATGTGGGCCGCATGTGCATCACTGGAAGGGCAGCGCTGTGGCTGCAGGCGCAGCTGGCGGCGCCTCACGGCTGAATGCCTGCCTAGTTATTCATGCACCAACCAACCAGACGTGCAGAGTCCGACCAGTAGCCAACACTCGCACACCGATTGGCAATTTCTCATCGCTGTCCCTATGTCTGATCTTCCCTTGCCACCCATCCGGTGTGCATGCGCCAATCGGTGCCGCCCAGCCCACCACTCGCCCAGTATTCTCCACTCACCCCATTCCCTTCCCCTTTCTCCGTTCCCTTACCCTCCCCTGCGCCACCCCCAGCCAGTGGGTCACGCATAACGTCCACCTCCCACCGTCTCTCCCTCCCGCACCAATCTCACCGGCCTCTCTTGCCCGCCTCTCATGCTGCGCTGACCTCTCCTCCCCTCCGCACCCACCTCTCCCTCCCTTGCGCTTCAGCATCTTTGCTTATCTCATCTCTCACTTTCTCTGCTGAACATTCGTCACTTCTCTTCACCTGCCTTCCCCATCCCCCTTCCTTGCTCCCTCCCCATTCCCCGCCTTCAACTCCCCCTCTCCCTTCCACTCCCCCTTCCCCCTCCCCGTCCCCCTCTCCCTGCCTCCCCCTGCCCTTGTCGCTCCCTCTCCCCATGCCTGGATCTCAGGATTGGGCCGAGCGGGTGGAAACAGGAACACTAGCAGTGGCGGTGTAGTGAGAGGCGAAGCCAATTTTATCAGAACCACAGTGGCAGCAGCGGTGAAGAGACTTTTGTTCTGCCCGTATGAGGACGTTTTGGGTGGTGGGCATGCGAAAGTTTTTTCCTTGCTGTTTCTGACTCATTTGTGGCGAATCCGTTTGAGATGGGAGGCAGCGGCGCGAGGCGGAGATCCACATGCTGCTGGGCACGCTGCCGCCGCCCATATGGGAGGCACTGGCACGCTGCCGCGCGAGTCGAGTCCATCTTGAGAGACCCCGCCTGCATTGGCACTCCTCTCTGCCCTCATGAGCGCCCACGCTCCCTCCCCCACTCCCTCGCCTCCAAGGCCAACTCTGCGCCTTGGGCAACAAGGTTCGGGAAGAGCCCCGTGGAAACAAGGGAGCTGATGAAGGGTAGGGAAGGTGGTGGTGACGGGGGAATGGGGAAATGGGGGAGGGGTGGGGGGGGGAGGGGAGGAGGGGGGGGAGGTGGATGAGGAGGGTGAGGAGGAGGGGGGGGGGGGGGGGGTCGGCAGAACAGAAGGGGCTCGGGAGAGGAACAAGAGCAGAGAGCGGAAGAAGCTGGTGAAGCGAGGCAAGATGGGGAAGATGAACACTACTGAGACGTGGAGGCCTCGCCGAGAGATGTGTGCACCAAGGAGGGCGGGGATGGCAGTGGGTGAGGGGGTCTAGGTGGAGGAGGAGAGGAAGGGGAGGGGCAGCATTAAAAGGGAGGCATAAAGAGTGCTCCACGAGCAGGCGGGTCCAGAAGAGCAGTATTTGCAGACTTGTCTGCTTTCGTATCAGGGTCGGTTCACCATGACATTAGATGCTGTATTCAGCTTTGTACGTGCCTAGTACAGTAGTTTGTTGTGAATGGATATGGAAACAATGATATTTGCCACCTACAGTACTGGGAGGTCATTTCCTATGCAGTAACCGTATACAGGAATTTGAGAGTCGATTCTCCAGTAAAAGAATGACACCCTAGTAAAAACTTAACATACAGCTATGTGATTTACCAAAATATCACTCCATACATGTCTCTCACACCTCCATCCTCAGCAATCACTTTGGCACACCTGACATTCAGCCTATGCAGCATCTTGAGCTGAGTGAAATCATCTGGCAGCGACTGCAAGTGCTCGCATACTTGCAGGTCAAGAGTCTTGAGACGGCTCAGCTGGGCAAAGCGGCAAGGCAGGGAGCCTATGGCGGTCCAGCCAAGGTTGAGCTCATGCAGGCAGGAGAGGCGGGTGAGAGAAGCAGGGAGGCATGTGAGCGATGAGCAGTGGGCCAGATTCAACACGCGCAGTCAGGATAAGGCGCCGATGCCGTCTGGCAGGGAAGGCAGCTTGGGTGCATGGACTTGCAGGGAGGTCAGGCAGTGCAGGTGGGTGAGAGAGTCTGGCAGCGCTCTCAACTCCCCAGCCCGCTCGATGCGCAGCTGCCTCAGCTGCTGCACGGCTGAACCCAAATCATCCGGAAGGGCCTTCAAGCGTGCAGCACTGTGAATGGTGAGAGTGCGCAGGTTAGGGCAGAGCGCCAGGGACAGTGGCAGCTCCTCAGCCTCGCCTGCCAGCGCCAGCTCCAAGTGCTCCAGGGAGGACAGACTCACAATGCCGACCAGCCCACGCAGCAGGATTACACTGGTTTGGCTAATATGCCTCAGCATAGGCAGCACAGGAAGCTCTGTAAGAGGGGTGAGCTGTTGGGGGCACCCCAAGCTGAGCACCTCGAGTGACGGTGGCAGGGAGTTGGAGAGCTCTGGCAGCTGCGCACACTTGCCAATGGCCAACTCTCTCAGCCTTCATCACCAAAATTGCTCGGTCCCCAATCTGTCCCAAAACCATTCTGTCTCACATCTGTCGAGAATCTGTCCCGAAACTGTTCTGCAAGACACTTTCGAGACATTTCCGCCTAGAGGAGGTTTTGTGCCCCATAACAACCTGTCTCGAACTTGACTTGTGCTGTAATCTGTCTTGCAACTACATTGCCTCCCTAGAAAAACTAAAGGGGCCGTCAGCCGAAAAAATATGGTAATATTTAAGTCGACATGTCCGGCACCTCAACGATTCATTCCGCTCTACTTCGCACACAAATACTCAGCATGCAATCTCAACCACGCACACAGATTTCGGGTTTCCATTCAGTTCCGTCCATTGGGCTTAGCACAAGGGTTTAGCCCACCTAGATGGTGGGTCTCACAAGTTACAGCTCTAAACCCTAAAACAAAAACCGGTTGACAAGTGATATATCCGCCTGTGTGAAGCTCGGAACGATGTGTGCTAGACCAAGAATGCTGTCTACTTCCAACACCGCGTAATCGTCTCTCCCAGTGGTCAGGCGAAGCCTCCGACATCCTGTGATAGGGCATGGGGTGTCCAGCTCCATGTAGTACTTTACTAGTGCACGTCGGACGACTTGCTGACTAGCATCAGTGAAGTGAAAGAGCATGAGGCATCTCCCATACCACACCCCACCCTTCCCTTCTATCTGCACATGGCTGAACCTTTGCTCCCCCGGCGACGCCTTTATAACATGACCCAAAACTCCTCGTTCCATCCGGTCGTGCGGGGGGATGGCTAGCGCAGTGTGAACCTGCACGTAATCGCACATGCACAAGGGTAAGACTCACGCCTGATTTCGTGTGCCCAAGTATTTCTGCATACCAAATCCATGTTGCAACGGGGGCGACTAGCGGGGTGTGTGGAGGAACCAACTAATGAAATGGCTCACCTGCACCGTATCTGCATCAATGCCCACTGCTCTCATCACCTCCACCGCTCTTGCCATGACATCGGGCCCGAGTGCATCACGGAACTCCGACCACACAGGATCCATGTCGTCGTCGACCTCCATGCGACGGCTTCGTTTGGTGAGGACACGGATGTTGTGCTCCACCGCCTGGTTCAGGGTTTCGGTTTAAGCAAACATGGCATGAAAATACTTTATCCCACACAGCAGGTTTGCCACAAACTAAAGGGGCCGGCATTTCAGGCCCCTACAAGGCCAACGAGCACCATATGGCTTCACAAACAGTTTAGAGAAGAGACTTACCAGGCGCATTGCGGTCTTGTACACTCGGGTGCCACCCTCGGCACGCACCAGCCCTCTAATGGCTGACATCCGCGAGTGCTTCACCGTAATGTCGCGTGTTACGTCTCTCCAGTTTGTGTTCTTAGCGTGACATTTCACTGAGATCTTATGCTTGGCCTCATACATGTTGGTAGAGTACTCAATGGGCATGCCTCGCATCACAATGGCGGCGGGGAGGTGAGACAGCTGGTGTACCTTCACGATGAGGAACCCTGACCTCTGATTCGGGAACACGGCAACGAGCTTAGCGATGAGCCTGGCCCAGACACAAGCACGTCCCGTCATGACATGCAATACCCCCAAGGGTTGGAAAGACTCGGCAAGCGGGTGTGGCTTAGTAGTGAGCCGAACAGAGAAACAAACTGCGAGCGTACTGTGCCATTGAAAACTGCCATGGTTTAAAAGACACTCATACGAGTCAGCCAACATCAGCCTCCAAGGGTATGTGGTCTCACCTCTCTGTCATGGTGACCATGGCCGCAAGAGACTGATCAGTGTGGTACTCCACACGGAAGTAAGCCTTGTACCATTCACTGAACATAACGGTCGCCTCTCCAATGTCCTCGTACCCGGGGAGGTGCGTGATGAGGGGAACAATCTGCATCATTGCCCGGTGTTCCCATGCCGCGTACTGTGCCACAGTACGGAAGTAGTACGAGGGGTCTGGAGCCCTCAGGAGCGAGGCCGGGGTGTCCACCAGAACAGCCCGGCAACGCCTGCATATATAACCCGCCGGGTGGCGGATGGCATAACGGCACGATTAGCACTACGGCCGTATCTATGCAGCATTGTATGGCGCATTGTTACAGGGGATTTGTGAAAGACGGAAAACTCATATGTGACGAGGAACCACACACACCTCAAAAGCTCCGCGCGTAAAGTGGGCGTAAGTCTCCCCAAGATGCACTTCATTGTGTGCACCCAGAGACCCTCATCCACCACATGTAAGATACAAATACCAATGGCCTCGTACAGATTTCCCCATGGCGTATCGACATACGCCCAGTCCCATAGAGCACACTACACACAAGTTCGGCACGAGCTTACCCACACTCAACGGGGGGAATACACAACACCAATATACGCGAGAAATCCATCATGCAGAACCTCCTCTAAACGTCCACTTACAGCAGCGTAGTGGGTCGAGAATGCCGTCTTTACAAGTTCACGATACTCGGGAGTGCTCTGCTGCATCAGCTCAAAAACCTCCCGCTGCCCTTCTACCGTCCGTGGTTGGAAGGTCTCGGAAACCTTGTTCAAATCCCACCATCCCACTGTACACATTGAGCACGGCTGCAGTGCAGTCGCAGCCATCGTGCATGTGACTACAGACGACTCGGGGTGGTCACACACGTAGTCCGCCAGCAACGGATGAACTGTCATCTCCACGCCCGCTGCGTCTTGCACTTTGATCCCGCCACTGCGAGCAGCACAATATTACGCCATGTTATAAACGCCCACACCGTCCATGCGACACCACTGCCCGGTCATGCATGCTCCACATTGATTGTTAGCCATATGGTGGCATGACGACATACCTTTCCTTGCTTGAAAAGGCCATTAGGGGGCCTAGTACAATGCCCAGCATCACTTGCATGACCTCGGCCTTTTGCTCGGCTGACATTTCCGCAGGCAGCAGTGGAAACATAGCAATCAGCTCGGTTGCTCCCAGCATCCACCTTAATGCCTCTGGAATGTTCATGAGCGTGAATTGCAAGGGGTGCGCCGTTTGACGGCCATTGAAACTCAGGTGGGTCACATCACTAAACAAAATCACACCTGCTACAATCGCCTCTCCATCCATAGCTCCCTGTAAATGTCATGAGAGACCACTTAGTACAAACGGTGCGAATGGTGTGGCAGGACACTGACCTGCTGTGGCGGTAATGCTCACCGTGGCTTCCTTAAACCATTGGCAACCCGCCGCATTGCGATATACTGCCACCCCGTCGACCTTCTCTTCCCTCCATTCAGTGGCAAACCCATCCACTCCTGATATCCTCTCCCATAATGCCACAAAAACCTCCACGATCGGGCGGTGACGAAACGTCAAGACACCGAGATCTCCTTCAAGTACTATTTCGACCTCCTCCTAGTTCTCATGCGCTTCCAACACCTCCTCCTCCCATTTTTCCAGATCCCTATAAGTCTCCCACGTTTCGAGATCGTCGTCGGACGGGTTACGCGCCTTAAACAGTTGTACAATGTCTGTAATAGCCTCATTCGGGAGGTTGTACTTGCAAGCGATGTGCGCAATCTCTGCACGTATGTCAACCTCTATGTCGCGTTCCTCCAACCGTTCTGAGCTACCCGCGCTCGACACGCTGTCCGTCTCATGTGCCTCCTGAACATCCTCACTCTCCTCGCCACGCTCACTGTACTCGTCCCCCACCACATCCTCGCCCTCTAACGCCATGACCCCATGGGACTGTTCCCCATATACGTACTCGTATACCGTCCGTGGATACTCATGAAAACGTCCTAGGGGGATGCCAAGTGTAGCCAGCCTTTCCTGTTCTGCAAGGCACTTTTTCGATGTCCCATGATGCGACCTTAAAATCTGAAAGCTGCCGAAAGTATCACCACAGAATTCGCATAGTTCTACTGGCATGGACTAGGCTACAACTTCTAACGTCTATCGCGACTAAGCGGTTTGGCAGTTAGGGTTTGCGACTGAGATCCAGCTACGAGCCCAACGGCGATTTCCACGTCTCACAGACGCACAGCCAGGAACATATCCCGCTCTGTTACGGCACTGTACCTTTTATGCCTTGGGTACAGCGCTGGATGTGATATGACTCATTTAGGACTTAGCAAAGGTTATATTTGGAGGAGCAGTGAAAAACGACGGGGGTCTGCAAACCCTACTTTGTAATATAAACTACATTGACCAAGCACTAATCCCCTAAGCATAACAACAGCAACACAGCCAAAATGCATGGGGTCATGCAGCCTAGGGCCTTCTTCAAATGCATCAGTCAGTCGCATGTGATTGCAACTGAAACTACTAGTGACCGTTCATGGCTGCACCATTGGAAACAGTGTTGTATCAACCAGCGCCATTGTCCTTCCTACTACGTTTGACCCCCTCAGCTGGTAAGAGCCGCTCCAACAAACGCATGAAGAGCCGAGCATCTTCATAAGTAGTAGGCCGGGACCCTCCTGCACATGGGTGCCCTTGGGTTTAGGTTAACACCAAGGAATACATGGATATTGAATAACCAGCAATGATATAGATTACCCGCAACTAGGCCGTGGAAAACCGGCCTGCTCCTGGATGCTGTGTGGCCCCCAGGGCTACAAGAAGTGTGACGCGAGCCTACACAACAAGAAATAGAGAAAGAAAGACACAATGTTATGTCAGATTATTATAGCTGATGCATGTTTGTAGGCTATAGTGGGGTAGCACATATGGGGTACAGTTTGCTAGGGTTGTATTTGTACCCAACTCTGACTTAGTCAATTCATTCCTGTTCAGTTAGTTTCACATGGTATAGAGCGGGTCCCTCCTAAGGACCGTTCTTTGGGCCCACCCACGATTTTTTTTTCCTGCCCGGAGCGCGCCCTATTCTCCCCGAGGCGCGCTCCCCCTAGTGCGCGTCGAGCTGCCCTTGTGGCGCCCCGAGAGTCGCGCGCGCGACTCATTTTTTTTTTCGCGCGCGCGGTTCAGGCCCCACTTCGCGCGGCCCTTACAGCCGCGCCGCGCCGCCCTCTCGGCTCTGCCGCGCCGCGCCGCCCTCAAGACGGCCGCGCGGCCTCTTCGTCGCTGCAGCAGGCCCCCCCCCGCTGCACCTCTGTCGGCCCCGCAGCCGCCTTACCTGACGGCCGCCGCCTCACCTGACGGCCCGCCGCCTCGACTTCTGGCCCGCCACCTCACCAGACGGCCCCCCCCCGCCTCACCTGACGGCCCACCGTCTCACCTGCTGGCCCGCCACCTTACCTGACGGCCCCGCCGCCTCACCTGACGGCCCGCCGCCACCTTACCTGACGGCCCCGCCGCCTCACCTGACGGCCCGCCGCCTCACCTACTGGCCCGCCACCTAACCTGACGGCCCCGCCGCCTCACCTGACGGCTCGCCGCCTAACCTGCTGGCCCGCCACCTCACCTGACGGCCCGCCGCCTCACCCGCTGGCCCGCCACCTGACCTGACGGCCCCGCCGCCTCACCTGCTGGCCCGCCACCTGACCTGACGGCCCCGCCGCCTCACCTGACGGCTCGCCACCTCGCCTGCTGGCCCGCCACCTGACGGCTCCGCCGTCCCCTGTCCCGGCCCCGCCGCTGCACCCTGACGGCCCCGCTGTCCCCTGTCCCGGCCCCGCAGCTGCACCCTGACGGCCCCGCCGAGCCGCCCAGCAGCAGCCGAGCCGCCCAGCAGCAGCCGAGCCGCCCAGCAGCAGCCGAGCCGCCCAGCAGCAGCCGAACCGCCCAGCAGCAGCCGAGCCGCCCAGCAGCAGCCGAGCCGCCCGGTACCCGAGACGCCCGAGCCGCCCGAGCCGCCCGGGCCGCCCGAGCAGCCCGAGCCACCTGCTGCTGACCTACCCGACTCTCCCATCCCGGTGAGACTTTCAGCTGCTGCCATGGCCACCCCCAATGTTCTCACTTTTGACGCTGAGGGGAGGGCCATTGACTTTGCCGTCTGGATCGAGGACCTGCAGCTGTACTTACTGTGTGATGCGGTAGATGAGGTCTCTCTCTTTGACTTTGTCTCTGGCGCTGTCCCTGCCCCGCCTGCTGATGCTGACTCTGCCGTTCGCTCCAAGTG